GAGTCCAGTGGAGCATCTGCTGAAGAGAATGACACGTGGTGGGCGTGGGTGGGACCACCTGTGCTCTGCCGCCCCAGAGGCGGGGAGATGGGCTTCTGGCCCCGGTGTGAAGGGTGCCTCTTGCGTGCTATAGCTGCTGTGCAGCTCATCAGCAGGTGGAGGGTGGTTTGGGGAGGGTCTCCGAGCAGGAGAGGCACCAAGACCAGAAAGGCCAGGGCTGGTGGGTAAGGTGGGAATGGCCAGGCGTGTCTCATGGTGTGGCATGGGGTGGAGGCTGGACATCTGAAATGGAAGAGGGAATTGGACCCAACCAGCTCGGTCTGGAGTGACAGCTGAAGACCAAGAGCAGCAGTAGGGCATTAGGGGAGTGTCTCAGCTTATTCAGACTTGCAGCCAGCCATCTTTCAGACCCTACCCTGGGTCAGGAGCTGTGCCCCGAACCAGGATTGAAAGTTCTCCCCGCCTGTGAGGTGCTGTCCGTGGTGTGGCAGAGGAGTTGGAGGTGGTTTGAAGCACAGATGAGTCCAGAGTGGATGCTGCTACAGTGGGGTTTGCGGGTCCAGAGGAAGGAGGGGTGGAGCTGGGAGCTGGGAAAGGCTTTGGAGAAGGTGTGGCTTTTGTGCAGAGGAGGGCTCTGATCTCTCCAGCTGTATATTTATTTTCTTTCATTCTCGCTCATCCCCACTTCACTCGTGTCTGACTTTTTGTGACCCCATGGACCATAGCCCACCAGGCTCCTCTGTCCATGGGATTCTCCAGGCAAGAATACTGGGATGAGTTGCCATGCCCTCCTCCAGGGATCTTCCCGACCCAGGGATCAAGCCCATGTCTCTTTTGTCTCCTGCACCGGCACGGGGGTTTGGGTTCTTTACCACTAGTGTTACCTGGGAACATGGTCTTTTCTGGAGGACTTCGCCAGCAGTCTGTCCTCCTGGCCAGTCACAGCAAGAACAAGTGTGCACACACAGGCATGGTGGCCTCCGAGGGAGGTAAGACAGCTCTCCAGATTCCCAAAGAGCCCTCCAGGTTATCTCACGGGAATTCAGACTCCTGTGATGCCTGTGCAAATGGCATAGATGCTGGGATGGGTGAAGTGGGATTCTTGACTCTTGACTTCCTCCCCATTCTCAAGACCAAGACTCGATCTCAAAAACTGATGGCACCCATGAAGAGTAGCAGACTTGTTCTCGTCTGGCTTGGGTCTATGGCCTCCCAGCGTGGTCTCCCTTGTCTCCTTCTGGGAGAGGCCCCTCTTGTAACCGGGAGATGTCGTGCCAGGGATGCGTGCACTAAGAGTGACAGCCCCAGGGAGGCCAGCAGACAGCCGGAGATCCTCCAGCTCTCAATGGATGCTCCCGGTCCTTGAGCTCTTGCCCATCGGAATGATTAATTGACGTCCTCCACTCTGCTGGACAATTAAGGAACACAGGAGAAGGAGGGAAAAGTCTTCAGTTGGACCTAATTTGGCACCATATTGTTTTCTGTTAATCTATTTTGTTTTCTGTCCGTCTGTCCCCAGGGACGGGTGCCTTGCTGCTTGCTGAAGCATGCATAACTAATGTCCTCATTAAGGGCTGATCTGTTTACCAAGGCCAGGCGAGGAAGCCAGCCTGCCAAACCCAGGCGCAAGCTGGGGGCCGTTGCCTCCCTCTGGGCCTTAGCCCCACCTCATTAAGCTGGTCCAGGCTATTGATTGGGAGCCTGTGTTTGGAAGAGTCTTACTTACTCCATGCATTATCTTGACAGATTGATCAGACCTGATTGAGAACCTCTTAAAGAAACGAACAGCTGTAATGGGAAAGTTGGACTCTGTCATCCGTTAGGATGATTCTGGGAGCAAGAAGAACAAGTCTGACATCTTGGAGCAATTGTATTTACAATTAACATGGCTGAAAACGATTGCCTCTATTGATCCCCCCTTCCTGCAATTACAGCCCCATTGTTTACATTCCAGCACTTCAGTTATAAAAAGGAAATTCAATAATTATTGCATTATTTAAAGTTAAAGTGCCACAGAGTTTGCTGGCTACGCTTGCTGGTTGATTTAACGTTCAGTAAAATCCATGCTGAGCTCTCCATCTTGAGGCCGAACAATATCGGCTTTTAATGAGACTTAAAAAGCGGGGGAAGGAGAGCAAAACCTAGAGCACAGGGTGTTTGTCTGGGTTATTTATGGGGGGGACCGAAAGGCAGGGCAGAGAAACTCGCCATGTCATCTTTCGCAGAACTGTATCCCCTCTTGCCAGCCGTCTCCTGGTTTCTTGACTCCGCTTCCACAGAGAAGCACTTCTCTCTTTCCACTCTCTCCCTTGCCCCGTCCCACAAGTGTAACTTCTCAGGCATCAACAAGATCCACAGAATTTAAGGAGAAAGGGTGAAACTTCTTAGCAGCCAAAAGGAGCGACATGAAAGGCATTTGTTTCAAGGGAGTTTTTCTCTTCTGTGCAGTCATTTTCCGATTTTCTGATTCGAGGGGAAAAAAATGAAATAAAAAATGAAGGGCCCCCCCCCCCCCCCCCCCCCCCCCCCCNCCCCCCCCCCCAGCTTATGAGGAAGAAAGCCCTGCGCGTGCTCACTGCCCCCTGCCCGTCTCACCCTGGCAGCCCTGTCCCCTCTCATAACGAGGGTGATGAGGGTGTTGGTCAACAGATGCTGGGAGCTCGAGAGGTGCCTCCAGGTTGGAGCATCACAGTCAGACTCCCAGCAGCAGCAGCTGGAAAGTTCAAGAGCACGGGAGGAATTTTAAAGACCGTTTTATTTTTCTCATATTTGGTGGAAACTCTCCGGCGGGCTGGGTTCCAGCAAGACATCTGGACAGGTGTGCTCAGCAGGGTGCCGAGCTCGCGAGGAAAAAGTGATGCCTCATGCCTCACCATCAAGAGTCACGCTTTCAGCCCCAGCCCCAGGAAATTTGAGACTGCAGGTGTGAAAGGGGAGAGGAAGATGAATGGAGCCAATTCCGACTTTTATGAAGTATCTGGAGCGGGCCGGTAGCAGGCAGCTGCTTCCGTGGGCCTTTTTCATTAAAGAGGTGAATTCTTGAGTGCTGGCACTGCGTGATTTATCGAGTGCAGTTTGCTAGCATCTGAAATGCTCTTTGGGAAAAGGCGGGTGATGCGGAGATTTTAGGCCTGGGCAGTTTTCCTTCTTGCAAGGAAATACCTTCATCGGTTCCGACTTGGGTCTCTCCTCCATGGCAGCTGCTGTCCCAAGCAGCTGTTCTCAAGAGTGTGATCCCAGACACCAGCATCAGGAAGACGGTCAGGAGTTCTCCCTCCCTACCCCGAACCTGGACCTGGAGAATTAGAAACCCTCAGGGTGGGCCCCAATGCTCTGCGGCAGGACACCCCACCTCCCGCCCCAAGTGCTTCTGAGGCACGCTCAAACCAGAGGACTGCAGAGCTGAAACGTATCTATATTTTTAACTGCTGAGCCCATGGTGTGTACCTGCTAGCCAGGTGAGGAAGCAACATCCAGGCTCAAGGTAGAAAGATGACGCCTGTGCCAAATGTTTGGGCAGTCCTTCCCGTCTTCTGAATCTTTTTCACATTTGTTTGCTCATGTGGTTTTCAAAATTGCCTCCGAGGAAGACAGGGCAAGTATAAACATCTGTATTTCACAGATGAAGTAACGCACCTGTTTTGACCACCAGACAAGTACTTCTTTTTTTTTTTTCTTTCTTTCTGCTGTGTTGACTGTCATGGGATTGGAGATACAAATAAGCAAATCCTTCAGCGCGGATTTGGGAAACCAGGGATGTGCCTGTTTCAGCTCAGTTCTCCTTCCTTGGTCCTCACCTGGGGTGTTGGCAGATGTGCTAAAGAACATGGTTTCTGATTTTTCACTATTTGGGCGCCGACAGACAGACAGATCCAGTAAACAGATGTGGTTCTGGAGCAAGAGCCTGGGGTGAGGGTCCTGACTCTGCCGCACCAGCTGTGTGACTTTGGGCAAATGACTTAAAATAAGAATTAAGCGCCTCTTGTAAGGAAGAAGTCAGTCCCATGCATGTGCAGTTTCCCCTCTGTTTCATAATTTCTGCACATCGAAATTTCTTTACTGTCAACAAGCAATCCTTCTTTGGGACTGGGGGTGTGGGGTGGCGGTTCCCAGGGAGGGAGCCGGGCAGACTGGGCATGAGGAGGGAAGTGTCAAATAGGTAAATTCAGTAGCATTCATTCCTGTCCCTAATCCCAAAAGCCTAACCAGCTTGAAAAGTAACGATAGTAATAATAATAACCTTATTAATTATGAAGGTGAACCATACAGCAGGTGCCGTGTTAAGCACCTTTGTGTGAATTATCCCACTGACCTCTCCCACTGGTACTATGAGGGGGTCCTGTTATTGTCTCTGTGTTGCAGATGAGGAAACTGAGGCCCAACCCATGTGTATATCTTGCCCAGAGTAGCACAGAGGGAGGGTTTTCCCCGGCCTGCCTGAATCCGGAGTGCCTCGGAAACCACCGTTTCAGCAGCAGTGTGACATGGAGTTGATTGGGGACCAGCTTGAGTAGCACGAATACGGCTGCCTTTGTTTCATGTGGGGACTTAAACCCATGGGAGCTGAAGAGCAGCTCCAGGGAGGAAGCGTATCTTCACGAATGAAGAAAGTCACTGTTCCCCGTGCCCTGTCTTAACGAAGGGGTGACCTTCGGACTCAAGGAGCCTGGGCTCGTTCCTGGAGAGCGGTCAGGTTGATGCCATGTATTTCCCTTGGCTTCCCAGCTTATGTACATGCTCATTTGACCAGTGTGGAAACTAGCCCTTATCTTGCCTGAGACCCCGTGCTCTGATGGGCCCCCTCCTTTAGGAAAGATGCCCGCACACCCTGAGAAGCTTCGTCTCTGTGTGGTTATGCCACACCCCTCTCTGGAGTCTTCCCAACAGAGGGAAATGAAATCTGTTAGTACCAGCATTCCACAAGAGCCCACATTTGGATTTTTTCTAGAAAAGATTCAAAGCCAAGTCTGATACACTCTCTTGATGGTTGCAGATTCATGCTTATTTTACTTCTAGAATTTATTGTGCTTCTCTCTAAGGACCATTCATCTTCTTGAGACTTTTGAATGAGGAGATGTCATTCTTGCGAGCCAAGAGATCCAGGGTTGGGAAGCCTGAACTCCAGCCTTGGAACTTGGATGCCGAGAGTGAACAGTCAGAGCTTGTTCCAGGGCGTGAGGAGTCTGGCCTAGAAACCAGAAAATAGGTCAGAGATTGATCTAAGGGAACATTTTTACTTCCTTTCACTTTCTCTTGTAAATTGTGGTCGGGGCTTATATCTTAACGCTGTCTGCTGGGCTCCTGCAGTGAAATAGGACTAAATTAACATGTGCCAAGGTCGAGGGCGCGAGTGGGTGAAAAGCCAACATGAAACAGAAAATGTGTATATATTTAGGTTGACCTTCCGGAAGCTTTCCTAAGAAAGCGGCATTAAATCTGAAACGGTAACACCACCCCTGATTAAAAAATTAACCACCCCCCTTCCAGGCTGCGTTACACCTAAAACAGTTTCTTCCTAGACGCTCAAGGTGAATGCCTGGGTCTGGGGCGTCCCGGGTCACATGGCCGCCCTCTGCAATCAGCGCAGCATCACTGGACAACCGTGGACCCGGCCCCCAGCCCCGGGGTTCCAGTCCTGTTTTGTCCACACTCTGTGGGAACTCATGGGTGGAGGGAGAAGTCACGTGACCTCTCGGAGCTTTGAGTTTCTCCAAGGACAGGTGCCAAGCACCGCCCACCTCGGGCTGTAATGAAGTGTGCGAAGGTGCCTCCTCAGCATACCTGCCGAGCAGGGTTACGATGATGAATTAACCCCCCTCACATCTTCCTTATTCCATTTTAGTGGGTAACTAGCAGGCTCACTCCGGACCCTCATCTTCCTGTCCTGTCTCACCGGAGGTGTTGGTGAGACTTCTATAGCCCTCGCCCTGAGCCCCTGGCTTGCTCTGGTTAAGTTTTCCCCTCCAGAGGTCTGATGGGACAGCAGCCTCTTCCATCAAGGCCTTCCGTGTGTGGGTTGGGGGGCCCTTCCCCCTAGGTGTAGGTCACCCCCAGGGTCGCCCACGTGCCCCAGGAGGGGTGGATCCCTGGGAGCCGCTTTACCTTATCCATCACGGAGCTTCACCGTTTGATCTGCCCTCCGGGTGCGGTTGCGCTCTATCCGTGGGAGAATGTGGTGAGCCGGGCGGGCATTTGTGTGTTCCTCATAACAGGTATTATTCCCCGAGGAAGCTTCCTTCGTGAATCCTGTGTGTTTTCGTTTGTGAGAGTGTGTGTGCGAGTGTCAGAGTGTACTTTGTCCATTTCTACTTTAAAGGGGAGGCTTTGACAAAACCTGATCAATATTTTGCATTCCATGCATGAAGAACCAGATGTTAGAAGTTTCCTCTTGTTGGGGAGGAGGAGGGAGCCGGGGCCCCTCCAGATTTATAGAAATCGATGTTCTCTGACAGAAGTTGGTTAGTTTTCCTGGGAAACAAGTAACAGGAACACATTTTTTTGATTTTCGCGATGAATTATTTTCTAACAAGAGCCCTCTTCTCATCTCTTTGACTTTCAGTCGCTGGCCAGGGTCGACGAGCCCAACATACTAATGGGGTGAAATCCCACAAATAATGCCAGCCGGCTCCTTTCCTTTCTTTTTTAATTATTCATTTCCTTTTCATACCCGCCCTCACGTTCAGGCTTATTATCCGAGATGCCTTTTCCTGTATTGAGGTCTTGTCTTTTCCAAGTTCTTCCCCTGGAACCAGACCCACAAGCAAAGATGGGGGACCCTGGATGTCTCCAGGTCAGGGGCACGGGAGTGTCACCTGCCAGCTAAACCCAGCCCAGCATTTTATCGATAAAGTATAAATGCTCCAACAAGATCGGACAGATGGACAGGACAGGGTCCCTGGTCGGCACAAGGGAACCCCCCCTCGCTCATTTCCAGCACAGGTGCTGCTCACCCAGCGCGTACCAGTCCAGCTCCTATGCGCCCGCCAGGGGGACCATCTGTTTTCTGCTGCACGGTGGTCATTTGGAGAAGTTGGAGTTTGCAGAGTTCTTTCCCTGCTTCCATTTATGAGTCAGACCGGGTACTTATTTCCTTTTTGTGGGTCCTTGTACTTCTTTGTGCTTTCAGGAAGTATATCCTATTGCCACATGTAGAACTCTCTTTCAATGGAAACAACTGCACACTTGCAGTTCATGTAACCCAGTNCCCTGCTTCCATTTATGAGTCAGACCGGGTACTTATTTCCTTTTTGTGGGTCCTTGTACTTCTTTGTGCTTTCAGGAAGTATATCCTATTGCCACGTGTAGAGCTCTCTTTCAATGGAAACAACTGCACACTTGCAGTTCATGTAACCCAGTGTTTTGCAGGCACTTTTTTTAAAAGTTTTTTTTTTTTTTTTTTGATGTGTTCCATTTTTCAAAGCCTGCGCTGAATTTGTTACAGTATTGCTTCCGTTGTTTATGTTCCGGTTTTTTGGCCATGAGGCATGTGAGATCCTAGCTCCCTGACCAAGGATGGAACCAGCACCCCCTGCATTAGAAGGCGAAGTCCCAACCACTGGATTGCCAGGGAAACCCTTGCAGGCACCTTTAAAACCAGACCGTAAGGCTGGGGAAACCAGGGAAGCCCTCGGCGGTTCAGGATTCAAGGTTGTAGGAGAGGCTGGCTGGACAGAGTGCTGGACTGGACCTTGGTTTCTGCTCTTCTTTAGCTGAGTCAGTCTCCCTTCCTTGACTGATTTGTTGGTCCTGCTTCTTCATTACTCACTGATTGGTTTTCTTGAGTGATCAAGGGATCTTCCTGTGCCACCGGAGGAAGTGTTCTCACAATGGCATGCACGCCAGAAGGTTGCCCTCCTCATATCCCTTGGCCAGTCTGCCCAGTCACCGCCATCACTGCCTTGTTACTTGCAGGGTCAGGCCCTCGGGTAGGGCATAGTGTGTGTGTGCGTGTTTACGTGGTGTGTGCTTTCATGTGTCGTTGACGTCTGGAATCAAGCCAGACCCTGCACAGTGGGCGCTGACCACTTTGCTTTGGGTCCCCATGCAGCACACTTGTCTTACAGCACGCTGACCACAGTTGAAGTTATTCTGCTTTCTTATTCTTTATTTTCTATTTTTAAAAAAACCTTTCGTTTTTTATAGCTGCATCAGGTCTTGCAGCACGCGGGGTCTCCCTTTCAGCGTGTGGGGTCTCTCGTTGCGGTGTGTGGGTTGCTCCCCAGGGCACACGGACCCTGTGGTTTGGGGCATGCTGCAGGCTCTCTAGCTGAGGCGCACAGGCTCAGCGGTTGTGGTGCATGGACTTAGTTGCCCTGTGGCATGTAGGATCTTTGTTCCTCAACCAGCAGTGGAACCCACACATCCCTTGCCTTGGAAGGCAGATTCTTAACCACTGAACCACCAGGAAAGTCCCCTGTTTTCTTTTTTAGACTGCACAACTGACCCTCTAAAGGTGAACGGAAAGAAATCTTGAGCATAGAGTTCAGAATCTTGAGCACAGAGTAAAGAAATAAATGGAAACAGCCAAACAAGACTTGGGTCCTCCTACCTGAGGCTGGGCGAGCTCTGTGATGGAGGGGGAGAGGCTTGGGGGAGTCTAGTATCTGTGTGGGAGAAGAATTTCCTGCCTGCCGAGAAGAGCAGGAACTCTGACAGGAGGCAGCCCCTTCACTGAGTGTTCCACCGGGGTTTGTGCCTCGGTGGATTCTTCATATATTACAGTGAATTTAATTAAATACATTGTGATCCCAACTGAGGGTATCCTAATTAGCTGGGTCAGGAACAAATCATTCTCCCTCCTTCTCCAGATGAAAACATCTACTCTCTCCCGCAGGGAAAGCATTTCCGGGGTGACAGGCTGGCCCCATGGAGTCAGTGTCTCTAGTCCCACCCCCTCCTGCTGCTTCTTACTAGGCAGGTTCCCAGGGTGGAATTCCGGGGATGGGCCAGCGCATCTTGGGAGGGAGAGGGGGCCTGGACCCACCCAAGGCCTGGGAAGGGACCAGATGGTGTGGAGAAGTCAGGACCCTGTTGCTGGCTTCCGAGCCCCGTTTGCTCCATGTTGGACAGCCTGAAAACTGCCCAGGCGGGAGCTTATGAGGTGTGGTGAGAACAGGAGCGGTCATGCGCAGGTAGACCCCCAGAGACTCCAGTTGTGAGAGGAAGTTTGGGTTGGGGTATAACCTTTATGAGCAGGTGTTTCCTAGGAATGGAGAAGTAGTTTATTCTGGATTTCCATGTGTATGTCTTGGAGAGTGAACTTGGAGTGCATAAGCAAGCTAGGAATTTTGAATTAAGCTTCTGTGCAAGTCTCTGAGAGGGGACCCTAAATGTCCGCTATACCGGGCTCAGAGGGCGAGGCCATGGCTCTGTTCTCCGCATTTTTTGCTTTTATTCATATCGCTACCATTTGTATCAGGCACCCATTTTCTTTCCAAAATGGTTCTCACCTATCAGACCAAAAGGATTCCTGGCGGCAGCAGAGATTACCAGAGACTACCAGGAGTCGAGTGTGGTGTTTAGGGGCATCATCATTGTATCAGTTACTTTTCCAGCAGGAGTCCCCAGTGTGATGTTTATTTTATAAAAAGTTGAGGATTTATACAGCCCTGTCACCCAAGAGCCCCTGAGTCTGAGGATGAGAGACATCTGACATCTCATCTCCCATCCAACTCTTTCTGGCTGTGTTATCCTCTCTTCTGGCTCAGAGACTGGAAACCCCAGACGTTTGGAAAAGAACCCTCACATCCATATTAAAATTTCATGTTTGAGATTCAGAGCCTTACTTCTAGGAAATCCTGTTTCATGGGAAGGTAATGGGAGCTCGGGGTTAAGGCTTCAGTGATCCTTTCCGTGATTTCGTGGTTTCTGATGCCACCAGAGTCCCTTGATAGGACTTAGCGCTTTAGAGTCCATGGTTATATTCCCTGTTACCTTTCACGCGTCAGTTTCTGTTGAAGCTTTAATAACTGTAGTTCGTTGGGTCTTGGCGATCCAAGAGGGCCATTCCTGGCTCCCGTACGAGTTCCCTGTTCCTCAGTGGCGGCCCTGACGCTTTCTCCCAGGAATATCTGGGTTCCAGTTTTGGCTTTCGGGAGTCCCTATGGAGAATTTGGGGAGAATCAGCGTGGGCAGGCTCATTTTGTTTTCCTTTCCATCCAGCCCATCAGTCTCTTTCCCCAGAGTCCCACCCTCCAAAAAATGTAGCTTTGGAGCTTTCCATCTTTGGCAAGGAGACATGTCAGAGAGGGCAAACTGAAGAGAAACCATTTAAAAAAAAACCCAGCACAAATTTATTTCAAGAAAAGTAGCTTTGTGTTTTTGGTGGTTATAATCTGACAGTTAACATTGAGCTTGCTTGTTATTCAGTCTCTTTCTGGTTGTGATTGCTGTAGGCCAGCTCTTACTGGAGGCGGGGCCAGGGGAAGGCATATTGTTTTGCTCCAAGGCTTTGCACTTGAGTGTGTTAAGTCACCCATTTCTGGGAAAGAAGGGATTGTTCTCTGCTGATAGCTGTGAAGCCCTTCACTGTGTTACCTGCAAGTTGGCCCCAGAGCAAAAGTAAATGTCATGTAGCCAGTTTACATCGACGAGGGCTTGCGCTCCCTCCCCTTCCTCAGCCCTCTGTTGGTGCATTCATATTTCCTCTTCCAGTAAGGTTCAGACCTGCTTCTGGGATGTTCACACTTTTTCCGTGAACATAGGATGTGTGCTTGTGAGCACATGAGCCTCAAAGCTGTGTCATCCAGTAGGAACAACCCCGGGCCACTCTTGTTGGTATTGAGCAGAGAGCAGGGCATTGACTCTGTGCCTCCTGAGCGTCTCACAGTATAATCAGGACAGGACAGAGGTCCAAGCAGGATCAGAGATGGTTACCAGGTACGGGCGTCAAATAGAACAAGTGTGGTCAGAAAGGAGAGGAGCAGCACAGAGCAGTCCCAAGGCTTTGTTGTGGTTCCTTGGGCCAGGCTTGGGGGATTGGAGGTGGGGAGTGAAGGCGAGGAGAAGGAAGGAAGGACAGGTGGGAACATGAGCCCATAAAATACATGATCTCAATTTCCTCCTCCGGAAGGATACTGGGGGCGGATGCTGCCAGGTTCTAGTTCTCTTTCTCCCATTAACTAGCTGTGTTACCTTGAGTCAACCACTTAAAACTTCTTGGGATTTTTTTTTTTTTCCTGCTTTATATGTACCCACTAGAAAACTTTCCTCTTCCCCTAAAATGAGTCATTTGAAACGAAGGAGGTGGCCTTTCTATACCAGGAGCATGTCAGTTCTCTAATTCTTAATAGAAAGGGTCCGTAGCTTTCCACGTGTTCTCACAGGGACCCCAAAGGATGTGAATATTGTGCTTGGATACAAGTCTTCTTCAAGATGCAGAAGTCTGGGTTCTGCTAACTCCATGGCCTCCACTGGTTTGTGTACCATACTTTATCCCTGTCGTGTCTGCTTCCTGCCGACTCCTGGGCTTCCATGTTCTGGAATCAAAGTTCTGTATCGACACAGACACAACCCAGAGTGTAATTTTGACTGTCTGAGCACTAAGCCAAATGACCTTGAGATGTTGAGAGAGAACTGGTCTGGACAGATTTATTTTTCTTTTCTTCCTAAGCTAGGGGAAACCCTAATTTCAGGTTCTCCTGATAGACTAGTTCTAGATACAAAAGCTTGAATCATCTTTCTTGTGAAATAGCCACACAGCAACTCTGGTGCTTCGTTACTGAACTAAGATTCTGTGCAGGTAAGGTGACCACCCTGTAGACCATCCCCTAAAGCAGGCGCTCATCACTTTTTCCATCAAGAGCCAGATAATGAGGTTTTAGGCTTCGCAGGCCACATAATCTCTGTTGGAACTGTTGAACTCCATCCAGTGTTCAGAAGGCATCCATCGACGATGCACAAACCAACACGTTTTGTGGCTGTGTTCCACTGAGACCCTATTTATAGAACCAGGCAGCAGGGTGCACTTGGCCTGTGGCCATAGCTTGCCGACCCCAGTTCCACGCAGAGCAGACACTTTGGAGATAAGCGGAAAGAGTGAACCTCTGATTATTGTGCCAGGACGCCCAGTTTTACGCGGGGAGGGTCGGATCCATTGGCATGTTCAGCACTCTGACACCCCCGGGGGAGGCAGGAATGAGAGTCACCTTGCTCCCTGTCCTCATCACGCTGCTGGGGGAAGGGCCCCCTGGGAAAACCAAGTCACCCCGGAAAGGGGTTGTCGGGCGGGCCCTCGGCGGGGCTGGGCTCGGTGCGGCTGACCGGGGCACGCCCCTCTCTCTCACCCTCGCAGCATCTGCAGCAGCATGAGAGCGGCGTGGAGGGCGAGAGCTGCTTCTACCACTGCGTCCTGTGCAGCTACTCCACCAAGGCCAAGCTCAACCTCATCCAGCACGTGCGCTCCATGAAGCACCAGCGCAGCGAGAGCCTGCGCAAGCTGCAGCGGCTGCAGAAGGGCCTCCCCGAGGAGGACGAGGACCTGGGGCAGATCTTCACCATCCGCAGGTGCCCCTCCACCGACCCCGGTGAGTGGTCTCGCGGGCCGCGGGTGACTGCTGTGCTCTGGGCGTGGGGGACATGCCGGGACTGTCACTTTCCTCTTAAATGTTTTTAGAGGAACTTAGCACCACTTTTCTTTGCACGTCACGAGCCACTGTCCAGTGAGCAAGCCAACAGACCGTGTGTTGTCCCCTCTTCCCAGGTGCGTCCGGCGTGCATTCTAGATTCCGTCTTTGGGTTCAGATCGACATAAAGAAAATGCTAAAGTATGTCTTGCTCAGAATTGAAATAAGGCAGTTTGTGGCCTCAAGTGTGGTCTGTAAGAATGAACTTCAGAGGTGATCGAAGCAGCAAGTGCTTGTTAAAAACATCGTGACTGTATCCGAGTGCCCCAGCTATTCCTGGCTCAGAACTGCCCCTTCCTTCACAGAGAGCATGGGGACCTTGGTGTAGCCCTTGCCCCATGTCTGCTTCCCACCTGCCCTCTAGCCTGCAGTCCTTTCTCCTGTCTTCCCCATGTGATTCACTCCCACGGGAACCTCATACAGTAGACTGTCCCCTCTCTCTTACTTTTTTCAGCCTCCCAGTCCCTTTCTCTCCACTTGGGAGCATAGGACAGTTGCCTGTCTCTTTAAAAACCATACAGCAAGAGCTCTCCCTTAATCCTGGGCCCCACTGTCTGTCTACAACAGAACCTTCAGATTCTTGAAAGAACAATCTATGTTGGTCCATCGCTGGTTCACACGTCAGCCTATCAGAGCCTGTTTCCTCTTGTCATCAAACTGTGCTTGAGAAGGAACCTTTGACCCTGGATGCACCCAGCCCAGTGGCTGCATGCTGGGCTTCTTTCTTGGTCTTTGAGGTTGCCGCCCAGTGCCTTCTGGAAGCGCCCGTCCCTGGCCGTGTTTCTGTCTTGTCCTTCGGTGGCTCCGGACCGTCCTCCATGCCCCTCCCAGACTCATGGTCCTCGGTCTGCCCCACAGACCAGAGTCGCCAGGCGCTCGGCCTGGCCCTTGGCTCCCAGCCTCTTGAAACTTTGCTCTCCTGACGTTGGCACATGCCCTTTGGGCAGCTCCCTGGGTTTTTCACGGGGGCCACCTCACAGGCCCGGGTTCACGACTTCTCCTGCAGACAAACCCCTTTGCTCATTCCGATGGCGTGTTGCCGCACGACCTGGCCAGGCTGCAGACTCGGACGGGACTTTTGGTCTCTCCATTGCCTGCAGCACCCTGTCAGCCATTGAGCTGTCATGGCTGTGTGGGGCTTTAATCCTAATGTTATCAGATTGCACGTTTTTAGTTTTTAAAGGCAAAAAGTTATATAAACCTTACTGTGAAAAATGGCACGGCCCTCCCCAGTGCCATTCCCCAGAGAACTGGCTTTCAAGTTTAATTGTTCCTTTTGCTACTCATGGTCATGTTTCTTAACATGCCTCTACTATTGTTGCTTGGAATTTTTTTTTTTTTTGGCTAAGTGTTAGACATTACCTATTGGCTTTCTACACTGGAAGATGAGGATTTTACTAGTATGCCGTTCTGCAAGCCCACACACTGATACCTACTACACACACCCCATCCACAAACTCACATTCCCACCCCACCCCCACTCCGTACACACCCTCTTGCACACAGACTCGGTACCCACACAGCCCAGCCCCTCGATACATTCTGTCTTCCCCTCTGATCTGTCTTCCATTATGATTAATAATTTGGGGGCATATTAATATTCAGTATTTTCATTATTCTGACTCTATAAATATTAATCACAGCTGAGCCATGTGGAGTTTTATAATTTCATTTACCTTCTTGTACAACTTTTTGTTTTCTCTGGTTTTCTAGGTACCTATGATTAATTCATGGCTAACCCTCTGCCAGAGCAGACGTTTCCTCAACCGGAAAGCCCCGCCAAAACAACTTAACCGGTAACCTCCGTCCCCAACGGAAGCAGCCCCCCAAAAACCCCAAAAAACCCCCCAAAAGCCCAAAACCTCCGGGGCCAACAACCAACCGCCCCCCCTCCCCCCTTTTTTGTATAGATGGAGCTAGATTCCCCAACGATGGGATACACCAGAATTCGAGAATGCTTCCTCTCTGCTCGAGTAGAATAATCACAGAGGAGGGGCCAGTCCTCCTAGCAGTCAGTATGAATTGTTGCTTTGGGAAAGTCCTGCGTGGGGACCAGGGTGATTTTTGTCACCCCCAGGTCACTGCAAGATGGACTGTGCCTTCCCGCGTGTATCATGGATGCCTGCTTTGTTTAAAGTTCATTCTCCACCTCTGGGGCTTGTGTTTCATGTCTGACCCCCTGGTTCTGCCCTGGGATGGGGCCCAGCACCCACAGACATGCCAGGCCCCAAGACTGGGACCATTGTGCCATCCGGTTGTGGGGGTCCCTGCTCCCCCTGAGCGCATTTTGGCCCATCTATTCTGCCACTCTCTTTATTCTGCTGTTATGTCATTTCACGGGGTTCTTCTTCCTCTACCAATATACTCAGACCTATTTATTTTAGGGTTTAATTTTTTTTTTAACCAGCTTTGCATACGTCATTGTTTTAATCTTCCACTAAAAGCTGGTCCCTTTTGCCCCTTCAATTCTTTCTTTCACTCTACTCAGAATTCCCTTTTTATTAATGAGGTGCCCCAAACTAAATAGTGTACAGCTGCCATTTCACCCGGGGTCTATGAGCTGGAACAAACAGTTCCCTGTTTTATAATGTAATACTTCTATTTATGCAGTCACTGTGGAATTGCGTTCTTACACCATTGCCTTCTGGGTTTCTCTCATTTAATGCATATTAGTGGTTTTTTTCTTTTCCCTCTCCAAAGTGTATGAGCAACTTTCATCTAGATGATAGACTTCCTTTCTGTATTTCAGAATCCTTTTGTATTGTCTTCGGCCTGGAGTCATGTTTTCACTCTCCACCCACCTCCCTCCCCACCCTGCACCGCCCCTCCACCCTTATGCTCTAGCTAAGTGTATACTCTTGAGTAATGACAAAGGCATAAATTACTAGGTAATGTTCACATTAACATGAACAGTAACTTGGTTCTGTTTTAGAAACTCCTTCAAGAAAACTCATCTTAAAACATATCCTCCTCCCTTGCACCAGGGATGGACTCTTATAAACTTCTTGGAAGAATGTCTTCAAGAGAAGGGCCACATGGGCCTGGTAGAATTAAGGCACTGAAAGTCATCATCTTCTGGTTTTGTAAACCCAGACTTCATAAAACAGGTGTCCCTTGTTCCGCCATGCTCAGAGACACTGCATCATCCTTTTACAGATGGAAGGTTCGTGGCTGCCCCGCTTGGAGCAAGTCTGTGGGTATCATTTTTCCATCAGCATTTGCTCTTTGCGTCTCTGTCACGTTTTGGTAATTCTCACAGTATTTCAAGCCCTCCACCAGCAAAAAATATTTCGACCCCTTGAAGGCTAAGATGATGATCAACATTTTTTAAGCACTGAAGTGTTTTTTAATTAAGATATTTGGTTTTTATTTGTTTTTATTAAGATATTTAAGATACTTTATTTTTCCCCCCTGACCTTAATAGACTACCATATAGTGTAAATATAACTTTTATATGCACTGGGAAACCACAAAATTACGTGACTTACTTTGTTGCCATACTTGATTTATCACAACATCTATGAGGTGTGCCTGTAATTCCCACTTCTCTCCTCTGGAACATAAAGGTTGAGGCACTGATCCTCAGCGGGCAAGGTCGTCCATGTGGTGTGAGGAGGCCTCAGAGCGTCTTTGGGCACCTATCGGTAGCCCTGCGTTCTGACTCTAAGCCACTTGTAAACAGTGGTTCTGTCTAGGGTTTTCATTCCTGGCATTCCGTCATCACCTGGTTAAAAGATGGTGTTCTCTCTCCTTTCCTTTGCTCCTGTCTTGTCCACACACCAGACAGATTTACACAAAAGCCACTGGAAATAACGTCCTTGGCTTCCCTGAGCCCAGGGCCTCAGAGCTCAGCCTCCTGTCACCTTCTGCAGTGGCAGGGCTTCTCTTGCCAAGGCTAATGGAGTGGACTCTCCCGTGATTTCTTCCCTGGGGGTGGCAGAAATACCACTTATTCAAACCTTACTTGTTAGCTTAGTCCCACATGTCTTCCAGCCAGTCAAGTTCACCAGGTGGTCCGCCAACCCACATGGAAGTGCAGAGAAGGAGAAATTGTGAAGATCTCCTCTGCCTTCAGAACTTTGTGGCCGTGGCTAAGAGTCTCGCCCACCACTGGCTCCCTAAGCCCCTCGAGAGCCCTCACGACCAGCCTTGAAGCATCGAGGTCCTGCCCTGCCCCACCAAGGGGCTGAGTCTTGGTTGCTGACCACATGCTAATACCTAGTCCCCCCTCCCCCACACAGTCCTGCTTGTGGTCAAGCATCACCCTTACTTCCATCAGTGAGGCCTATAGTAATGGTCTTTGTGGTTATGCTTGCCACCCTCACCTCTGTGCTAGAAACACAGACAGACAGACAGACAGACAGACAGACACACACACACACACACACACGGCCTTCCCATTTGAAAAAGAATGTCTTGGAAATGTACATCTCACAGAAAAGAAGGTAACCAAACTACTGAGATTCGTGCCTTCCCAACATTTTTTGTGTGTGACCTGGTCTTTTGATTTTGGTTTGAGTGTATTTTCTGCAGGACCAAGTATTCTCTTGACTCTGTTGGGATTTGGCCTTCCTGTTTCATTCCCACCCCTTCCCACATGCACACAGATAAACGTAGACAAAGCTGTTTGCTGCGGCGACACCTGGGTTATATCTCCTGGTGGTTGGCTTCAGCTCTTTGCTTCCCCTTAGTTGACCAGAAGCCCTTGGAAGATGGAATGCACCCGTAGGTGGATCATGTGTAGGATCAGCTTCCCTGTTTGCTTATTAAAAAGGCATTTCTGGCTCCGGGGTGAAACTGTAGTTAATTTCGCTCTATCAGTGCCCTGGGCTTCCAGAAGACAAGAGGTGCTTTGTGTTTCTGCCCTCAGCCTTCCTCTGTTTCCCTCCTTCTGTTTCTCTTACCCTCCCCTTAACTACCTCTCACACGGAGACACAGCCCTCCAAACATTGCACAGAAGTAGTCACCTGACTCTACATGGAGCACCTACTCTGGGCAAGACTTTGAGCTGGGGGCACGGCTGATGCCCTCTCTCAGCTCTTGGTGTGGATACGTTGTTCTAGACGCCGGCACAGGTGTTCAGGGCAATCGGATGATGGCTCAGCTTACAGATGGCATGCTCATTCAGAATTTAGGGGAGTATTTTGCTTGGAGCAGAAGACGGCAGCCTCCTTCACCGACACATCTTTGGCGCTCAAGGTAGTGAATTCCTGGGGTCAGGGAGCCGGCCAAGTGACGATGTGGTTTAGACGACAGCCTTTACTCAAACACTCACTGGCTTCACTTGATGGATGATTTTTTTTTTTCCATTTATTTTTATTAGTTGGAGGCTAATTACTTTACATCATTGCAGTGGTTTTTGTCATACATTGAAATGAATTAGCCATGGATTTACATGTATTCCCCATCCCGGTCCCCCCTCCCACCTCCCTCTCCACCCGATCCCTCTGGGTCTTCCTAGTGCACCAGGCCCGAGCACTTGTCTCATGCACCCAACCTGGGCTGGTGATCTGTTTCACCCTAGATAATATACATGTTTTGATGCTGTTCTCTTGAAACATGCCACCCTCGCCTTCTCCCAGAGTCCACAAGTCGTTCTATACATCTGACTCTCTTTTTCTGTTTTGCATATAAAAACACTTTCTAACACCATGCACAAAAATAAACTCAAAATGGATTAAAGATCTAAATGTAAGACCAGAATCTATAAAACTCCTAGATGGATGATTTTTTTGAAGCAAGTTCTGGGGAGTTCTACTTAACTTGTACAATTTAAGAGAATAAGAAAATGCACTGTTTTCTAGTTCGTCATTTGTTTTTGTTTTGATTTTTCAAAACTGGCATAAAGCTGCCCTCTGAATATTAAGTGCTTTTTTTTTTTTTTTGGTAAATAGCTAAATTATATGCAATTTCAGTGTAATTTTTCTTATAACACTAAAATATATTGTGACCAGTTCTGCAATTCTAAAGTATTATTTTCGTAAAACCAGCATAGTTTTTTCTCTTTCCTTTTTCCTTTTGACTATATGTCTTGTCCATGAGGCTTAGGGAAGCATAGGGATAAAGTAATGCTGACCAGAAAAATTAAATGTGTTAAGGGCATCAAAACAAATTGGGGTGACTGAAAATTTGAGCACTCATGGAGGAATAGAGAAAACATGACTTTATCTGTTTTAAATCCATTTCCTGATAAGGGACTACTGGGATGAGAATTATGAATTTCAGGGTGCTTTATTAGAAAACTGTTTTTCAATGCAAGGCTAAAGAAATTTTGTTATATATTGACATGAAAAGAGAATATAATACTGTTGAATGAAAAATGGAGTTTGCCGAATAATGTATACTTTGATTCTGTTTTTTTTTTTTTTCCTTAAAGCTTTTAAAATAGCCATTCAAAGCAAAGTTTGTAATTGGCATTTCTGACTGCTTCATGGGTGGGATCTGTTTATATGGAATCTAATAGAGTGCCAGGCACATGGCAAGAGCTCAAATAGTGGACAAGCTCTTTGACAGAGATATTAGCAAAATTACTCACAGGATACCAAGGGGTGAATCTTACTTGTCTTTTCTTCATGGAGACAGTTTTCCTTTTGTCAGTATAAAGCACATGTAGTTTGATTACCGTTTGATTCGCTTGCATTTTGCATCCACATGAAGAGGACAGGAGTACTTCTTAGGCTGTCTGCAGTCTTGTTTTTTTGTTGGAACAGAGTTCCTGATTTGCCTTAATTAGTCCTCTAACAATCTGCAAAGGTCAGCGCCAATTGCCTGTTCATTTACATTTGTAATTGTGATGGCTTCTGATTACATATTCCTTGTCTTAGTCCTTCCTCTAAGTATATGCTAGTGTGTCTGCTCCTCCTCTCACACGTGTGTGCACACACGTGTGCACGCACATGCTCACATAGATGAAGTGCACACACACCACACACATCCCCACACACCCACCCCTCCCCCCGACCAGTGTGGAAGCTAAGGGGCCATCTCTTCATACAAGACAGCTTTGTAGTGATAGCACTGCCTTCCCTGCAATGTCAGAGTCTGTTACGAAGAAGCATCTTGGAGAGGCTGTTGCTTCTAAGTTAGGAATGTCCTGAAGCCAGAGTCAGGGCAACTACACGGATGCCAGGCAAGACCTCTGTGAGCCATTGTCCAGGAGCTTTTTTGACTGGAGTCATTGTTCAGTCACTAAGATGTGTCCCACTCTTTGCAGCCCATGGGCTGCAGCATGCCAGGCTTCCCCCTCCTCCATCATCTCCCTGACTTTGCTCAAACTCATGTCCATTGAGTTCATGATGACATCCAACTATCTCATCCTCCGTCGTTCCCTTCTGCCTGCCCTCAGTCTTTCCCAGCATCAGGGTCTTTTCTAACGAGTCAGCTCTTCGCATCCAGTGGCCGAAGTATTGGAGCTTCAGCTTCAACATCAGTCCTTCCAATGAAAATTCCCACTGAGCTTGTTTCCTCTCTGTCTTCTCCAGAAGAGATAAGCATATGCGCCAAGACATCCCACCTTTTAGAAATGATCTGAGATCTGGCTGCAGTAGCCTGAATTACAGTGATTATCATTCATTTGCCCATTTGTATTCTGTATCCACCATTTAGTAGCTGCTTTATTTTTATGGGAGGTTCGAAGCTGTCAGGGTTTGGGGTTTTATTTCAGTGTCTGGCACTGGACTGTATGTTCCCCTATATCGTATACTGGGCTGTATGTGTGACTGTACATTGCCTGCCTGGTTAGCCCTTGTTTGGGGTCCTCATTTGGGGATTCGAGCTGTCTTGCATGCTGTCCCCTCAGTAGGTAGTGGTGGGTTCCCTCATGGCCACCCCACACTGCACACTCTGAGAGCTGCTAACACTGTGGCTGCTCCTTTCCAGAGAGGGTGATACCAAGTGGCCCAGCAAAATGTAGATGAACGTAAAAAGGAGAGACCATGAGTCCTTTTGGTGGGTATTGAGGGTGAGCATTAGGAGTCTCCTGGTTAGGGCTGTGAGCATGCCAGAGAGCTCAGAAACACAGGGATCCCCGCGGGAGACAGAGAATGTCATGTCCCACCAGGTGTTATGTCAGGGAAACCTTTATGGGGGGTCCCCTCTGAAAGGGGGGTCCAAGGAGCTTGAACGAGGGAGACGTGTCCCTCCGGCGAGCGTGGGAGCCAGCCAGCGGGTTGGGGTTGGAGTGTGTACCTGGGTGGGTTGGGGATGGCTGTGGTGGTCATCACCTACTGTCCCCCCGTCTTGTGGGCACGTCTTCATTCCAGCCTCTTCCCTTCACATCATCCTGTGCTGCTCAAATGTACTTTTTCAAGAGAAACAATCAGTTGAACTTGTTATGCCTTCAGAAATGCCCAAAGAATCCGTTTCTTGGGCCACTTACACTCTATATTAATAAACTTGCTCCTGACCTTGGTAGGGGGCCAGGGAGGAAAGTGGAGCATGCATTGGTCTCTTTGCTCACAGAAATAGCTCAAAGCCTTCTCAGAGTCACGGATGTTAAGGAACCCCCTTCAAACTGTGACCCAATTAGGAGAATTATAGTCCTGCATGCTTTTTTTTTTTCCCCCAAACACTGACTAGCAGTGGGAAGTTTTCTGACCGCCCACATCAGAGTAGGCACGGTCCAGAGCCTCCTGGTTCT